AAAGGAGACTGACCAGAAGCTGGGAAGGGGGGGGGGGAGAGAGAGACCTGGCGCGGGGGGGACCACGGCTGGGGTGTGTGCGTTGGGGGGGAAGAGAGGTGCCTGGCGGGGGTGGGGCTTACCTGCTGCAGGCGGTGGGCCTTGCTGAGGTGCATACTCAGCGCCGGCGGGTTGGGCAGCACCTTGCCGCAGCCGGCCACCGTGCACAAGATGTTGCTGCGGACGGCCCGTGACAGCTCCGTCACCGAGGGTGTCACCAGCTCCCGAGGGCTGGACGGCCTTTGGACGACGTCCCGGGTGGCCGGGCGGCGGGGACGGCCGAGTCCCAGGCCCGGGCCCAAGCCGGGTTCCCCGCCGCGCTGAGGCGGGCGCTGCGGCTGAGGAGGAGCGGCCGCCGCCATCTTCCTCGCGACCGACCGGCCGCCCACTTCCGGTGGAGGGAGGGAGACTCATGAATATTGAGAGACGCCAATTTTACATATTCATGAGGGACGCGTGGGAAAAAGAGCCGTGGCGACGGAGATCCCGCCCGTCCTTCCATCCCGCCCCGCCCCTGGCTTGAGGTCACGTGGGACATATTGGCTCTCAGGCTGCAATTCCTCAATTTCTCATACAATGAATGAACCGCAGGTTTAATGCGGCCGCCGGTGTGCGTAGCGCGTCTTTGGCCGGCTTTTCTGGCTCTTGTGGGGGGGGGGGGGGGCTTTGATTTTGCAGGTTTTCTGAATGCCCACTGTGAACTTGATGTTCATATCTAATATAATTTGTAAGGCTCCTCCAAAATTATATCTGACTAGGTGGCTCAGTGGCTGAGACCCTGAGCTTGTCGATCAAAAAGGTCGGTGGTTCGAATCCCCCTAGTACAGGTGAGCAGGGGGTTGGACTAGATGACCTCCAAGGTCCCTTCCAACTCTGTTACTGTTTAAATTGGCATGGAATGACTCACATTACTCAAAGGTTTTGTCTTCTGGCTGGCAGGTTTCTGGTCAACATAAGGTAGTCCAATCCAGGATCCAGGCTACCAACCGTAGCAATACCACTTAGACTTATATACCACTTCACAGTGCTTTTACAGTCTTCTCTAAGCGGTTGGCCCTAATAATTAGATTCCTCATTTTACCCATCTCGGAAGGATAGAAGGCTGAGTCAACCTTGAGTCAGTCAGAATCAAATTGCCAAACTGCAGGCAGCCAGCCAGCAGAAGTATCCTGCAGTACTGCACTCTAACCACTGCGCCACTGTGGCTCATCCTAGGTTGCTTCTCTTGATTAGTTTCCATCTCAACCAGAAACAATAGAAATACCAAATTATTTCAAAATCTAGTTTAAGAAAGTTAATTCTGTATATAAAATGCAGGTTTACCTGCCTGCTTTTAAAAAAATTAGCAACCCTTTTCTGCAAAATTAAGTACACATTTTGTCTTTCTAAGGACAATTATTTTACCTATCCCTCTTAGATGTTCCATGATTCTATGCCTTTATAAATTCCAGATTCCAAACACAGAAAGAATCCCTTGGGAATTGACAATCCTATTAATTCTAGAGCAAAAGGGGTAATAGGATAAGCCGATATAACTATAAATCTGCCTTTTTATGATCCTGCAGTCCCCTTATTTGGAGTAGTTAAGGCGACTACAAAGTCAACTGGAATGCAACTGCAACCAGTTTTATCTAACATATTTTGTATATAGAATCATAAATTTAACATTCACAAAGTATAAACACTAACATTTCAAGCCAAGCTTGATTATTCCCATTTATAGAGAATAACAAAAAACCCAGTAGTTTATAATGCATTTGACTAATTTTTCAGATGGTGCATAATTGGTTAAACATTACACTAGGCTTCAATTAAATTCAAATAATCTAAGCGTAAGAAAGGGTTTGCATAATATAATTAAACCATGGAACAATTTGATTTGGTGTAAATGTCTGCAACTACACATTAAATTATGGTTAAGGCAAAGTACATATAAAACTGATAAGGGGCTAATAAGCCACACTTATTATCAAGCAGCATGATAAACTTGGAATACAGTAACAGCAATACAGTTAAATTTTATAGTTTATTTTTTACAAAGTATGAGAGTCAAAAACCTCTCAAAATGGCTACCTGCATTGTCAGAAAGAGCCCTGACATTTGTTAACAGTGTTCTGCATTATCTGGTTGATATATATTTCTTTTGTCATGGACATTTAAGTACATAAATAGGAGGGAGACGGGGGACCCCTTACAGGGTAGGGCTGAGGAGTATGTTCANTGGGACATAGGGATGAATCTGGCATCAGCTCCTATAGCTGCATTGTTTGGTGAAACGATGTCATTTCTGCAGCAACATTTCCTGTTTGCAAATGATTATCTGATGAGAGTTCAAGACAGAACTCTAGGAAGAGTTCAGGAAGAAGCTGGCATCCAGGGTGATGGTATTTTGTTAACTGGAGGAGCAGGAAGGAGGGATTAGTTATATCTGTGGTTAGACCCGCATTGCCATAAATGGCCTATATTTCTAATTCCAAATTAGATGTGACCACTGCACCAATACCGCAGATGCAAGGCAAAGCTTGTCTAGTGTCCAAGGCAGATTTTAGCAAGATCTTCTCTTCTCCATTATAAGCTTGAAGGCTTCCTTGTACAAAATCCCTGTATTTCTTTTTTTTTTAAAGTGATTAATTCATCTAATCAGAAGAAGAAACCATGCCTGCAGGTTTCATCCACTTCTGCCTAATTTTTTAAATTACCACATTGATTCCTCAATAGAATCCACAGAAAATTTTCAAAACTTGGCACATGGAGACATGGCTGCCAACCTGGATCTGAATCAAATCAAATCAAGTACTACCAAAAATATTCCTGTATACAATCTCTGGAAGAAGTTTGGAAATTAACGTTTGTCTATGTCTGTGCATATCCTTACTGGGTATCTTCATATTAGATTGCTAAAAGAACATATAAACATCTAGTAAGAGAAATAACATAATAAACCTGGAGCTACATCTCCCTCCCCCTCCCAAAAAAATACCGCCACATGTCAGTGACTGAACTCCAGACGATCCAAAATACAGGCTGTGCATCTCTTTGAAGGCCAGAGGGGGGGGGGGGTTGCTCCATTAATTATCCAAAGGAAGTTTCAAAGAGCCTCTGTGAAATGAAACAATGGCTACTTTTATTCAGTGAAGTGGGTTACTACACTGGGTGACTACACTGATTCACATTGCTCCGATGGAAGATTCTGCACATGAATGGCACATGGGCAGAAACAGTTATTTTACAAGGCAGATTTCTGGTTCAGGCAGCTTGGCCCCACCGTGACTCACTCTTGTGGGAAACATTTTGAGACTCTGAATGCTTTTCCCACAACTCTGTAAGGCAGATCACCTGCAACACTTACATCCTTCCCATAAAACACTAATATTAAATAGGGCTGTGCCATGATTCCAAAGAACTGGTTCCAATGGAATGTGAGGAAGTGTAAAATAATGCAAATATGGATTTCTCTGCCATCCCTGNACTGCAGGAACTTATCCAACCAATCTCTGAGAATCAGACACAATTGAATGAAAGAGAAAAAAATGTATGCAAACTGCTATGTTTGGCTATAAATACAAAGCAGGCAACCCAAAAATGCAAGGGAGAGAAAAGACTAACTCTCCATTTTTTTTTTCAAACCAGACAATGAGTTCTATGACAGAAAAATAAAATGGAGAACAAATCCAGCTTATAACTTTGCCCAAAATCTTAAAAATGCTACTCAAAAATGAGGCTCAGGGGGTGATTTTCCCCCCAGTAAACTCTCATTTAGATTAAAACTTTGCTTTTCTGGTACAAATTATCTTCTCGTATGTACTTCACAGTCTTCCAGTTCATAACTCTTCTGTCTTTCAGTCCAGTCATCTTTGTTTAAATATTGAAGTGCTAACTTGTCATGTCAAATACAACATCTCTTCAGACAAACCAGTTTGATGGCTAATTGCAAAATCTGGAAATGGAGATTTATTTTAAAACCATTTCAGAGTTTTGTTTGAAGCAAAACAGGAGATTGTTCACAGCTTGTAGTCATCTTACATGTTCTGTAGCCTGAGGAAATGCCAAGTATTCTCATCATGGCTTCACTGGATGGGTAAGGGCACTTAATCATAATATGCATGTAAGGCTTGCTTTGACAATTTAAAGAAGCACATCCTTTCCCTAATCGCAGCCAAAAATGAGTTTAAACTACCAAAAAGAAGCTGCCTTTCATAAAATGAAAAACAAATGCTTCTTTTGCCATTACTATAAACCTTGTTGGTGAATTGTTGTAAAGCACAGCGACTTCAGTTGGATGACTGTTCTATACCAATAATCTGCCAAATTTGCCCAACTCTAATGACTCTGTAAAAGCTCAGGCCAGCTGTGACCTCTGCAGCTGACTAGAAAGTTGGAGCTATTCACACTTTTATAAATGCTAAAGTGATAGCAAGTCAGTGTGCCCAAGCTTTGTTATCAAAATTACCAGGTTAAGAACTCTACCAAATTAGAGCAAGTCTGAAGAATTATTTGTAAAGGTATTGATCTGTCTAGTCTTTTCCATATCTGGCAAAGTTTCTTCAATACCATAGAGTGAAATTTAATTCTATTCCTGGTGGCAAGCTTTCAGTCTCAACTTTGCATTTAAAATACTCCCAGAATTCCCAAACTACATGTCGTAGCATNGGATCTATGTAACATCTTTTCCTTTCAGGAATTAACCATTTATTTCTATTATTTCCCTACTGCTCTTCAACCAATTAAGAATGCACTAGAGGATAAATGGCTTTCCCTTTCTCATGACAGCATTTTTGCTTATCTCTGGGACTGTTCAAGTAAATAATATGTAGTGATAGTTAGCTTCAGGCTTTACCTTTGCAGAAGCCAAATTGGTTCTTCTTCAGCAAGGCTTGTTTTTCTGAGTAATCAATCATGTTTTCTTTAATAATACTTTCCACCATAATTAAGCTTGAATTACCAAGTAGCCAAAACTTAATTGGATCATTCTTCTGCTGTGAAGCTTTGAAATCTTTTGAAAATTGTTAAGGCTGAATGATTACAGTAGAATACCACAGCATTTAGTTTTGCAAAGTTCCTTTGAAATATCTGTTACTGAAGAGAATTGTTTTCATTTTCCAATCCTTTGTAGCCTGCTTTATTGACACTGTGTGTCAATGACAATAAAATATTCATTCACAATAGAATATTTTCTGGAAAGCATTTGCTTCTTCCCATTGAGACACATAGAGAGAAAGATACAATAAATATTCCTCTTCATCTAAATTAAATGTCTATGTTCTTTGCATATCTTAAGATCTACTACATATATATTTTCAAATCACCTCTTAATTCAGATAGAAATGTCTATCCTTGATTTGCAGT